ATTCCAAACCTTATTGTAAACATTACGACCGTTGGCAACAGGATTCTTGTCAGCGACATCCAGGAGAGTTTCCATTTCGTGCGGTACAAACGAGCAGAAAACAAGTTGATAATTTTCGCTGACGATACTTACCCCCGCTGGATCACAGCCTCCTGCATTCTGGACTACAACACCGTGGTCTGTGCTGACAAGTTCGGCAATATCACAGTTGTAAGTGCAATAATATCTTGAATACATTTACTTATGTAATTATATTGTTAACAAGAAGTGGCATTTGTAAAAGTCTTGAATTGGTGGGAGGGGGAAGATGGAGGGGTGGGCATGCAAAGTGAAGTGGGAGGGTTTGATGAGAGGTGTTAGTTGGCAATATGGGGTGATTTTTAACTCCTCGAGCGTAATTTTTTTTCTTCGAAAATGATTCAGGGGGAGGGGGAACGAGGGAAAGAAGCTCCCATTTTCTGTACCCCTTAGATACACCACTATTAACAAGATGTTATGCAATGTAAAGGATACATGTGCCTTCAAGTTACTGTAAATATTTGATACCATTAACATTATTATTATCATAAGCATTGTAATATATATATATATATATATATATATATATATACACACAAATTTTTTTATATTTTTTCGTGTGTAGAGAAATATTATTCAGTAATAATTGTGAGACAACAGCTTTGTGTTACTGCGTTTCTAAATTCTCTAAGTCGAATCCAGTAAATAAAAGGATTTGCAATTGAGTTAATCATTACCAAGAAATTTCCAGAGTAAGTCCTTATCCAGTCTTCAGGAGACAAATCGCAATTGTCGAATTCAAAGAAAATGGAATTCATTATAGACGGTCCCCATGTGAAAAATAATACTCCTGCTACGACGCAAAATGTTTTCAACATTTTCTTATTTTCAATAGTTTTGGTCGATATACGAATGCTTCTCTGGTGTTGGCGAATGCGTATGTATATTATTATATACAGTATTGTATTGAGTAAAACATAAACTGTTAAAGTAATTGTCCAACAGATCTCACAATTCGTTACAACAATAGAAATACTGAAAGCTGTCTGACTTACTATAACAGTGATGACGGCGAGTGCGCATGTTTTAGGTGTAACGATAAGATGGTATTTCATGGGTGCTCCCACAAGTGCGATGTACCGATCTATAGCAATGCAAGCAATAGAACAAATTGAGATAAGTACCGATGCGTGTCCTATTATTATTACCAACAAAATGTCATTGACTTCTGCTTTCAACAATTCATTCAATACTATAATAAAAACCGTATTTGTCGCATCGGCTATGGCCAGTAAACTTAAGAATACATTCTGTTTCCTGCGAAGCCTCTTTGTGGTTACTACTAATACTACGACAAATATGTTTGCAAGAAATGAGAGAGTACAGAAAACGTAGAGTATTGGATTTGCGTAATAAAAGAAACGAGTTGTTGTCAAATGTTGATTAAATGATTCTATCCAAGATAAACACAGCGGCTCAAAACTTGAGCTCTCGTTGTGTGCAATCGGTGTATTATCCATGTTGATATTCAAACTTATTTTTAATTGATTTGTAACTCAGTCCAGAACAATGCTTACTTTTCAAACATTCCACCCAAGAATTACAAATGAAAACAAATTCGCTTTTGATATGGTTGGAATATTTGAAGTTTCCAGTTTATACTGAACAGGCAAATGGTGCGGATAGCAGACAGATACATATTTTTTTTGTCTTTTTGTAGACTCACTTAGAATGTGATATGATTGTATTGTGCGGTAAGATCTGCCAGATAAGCTAGAACCAACATCCAACTACACAGAGAGAAATAATTCGATTGACTTTCGTCGTGTTGTTACCAAGAGTGTGACAACAGGATTTCGTAAAGCAGTACACCTTGTTAATATCTAATCAATAAATAACATTTTATAGTCATTGCCTTCGCTATGATAATACACGTTTGTATTAAATTCATCATTTACTTTTACAACCAGTTGACTGACAGCACTCTTGACAATATTTGGATAATGTGAACTCGGAGTAATTACTAATATCAAAGTGTTGTCAGCTGAAGTAAAGATGCATTCTAATGAAACTAAAAATATGTCAGTCGCATCACTATTATTGCGTTTTAATCTAAATATGAACAGTCAATAATATCCCATAGATGATGTCAGTCAATTCCATGGTTAAGAGACCAAACAATTACAACGATAGCCTCAATGGCCCAGTCGGTTAAGGCATCTGCATAGACAGCAGAAGGTCCCAGGTTCAAATCCCGGTTTCGAAATTTCTATTTCGCTCTCACAGTTTCCTTTTCTTTACCGTTTAAAATTATATATATATCTCTTATACACATCTAGATGTGTATAAGAGACAGGGCACGTGCCCCCTGTTCCTTTCTCTAAATTTAAAAAAATAAATGCATATGAGTGTTATGTAATAAAATTAGCGCTACTCATTTATCTATACTGAAAATGTTGTGCCTCGCGTTTGAAAATTTCAGGATCCCCATCTGATTACGTTCGTTTATATTTACAAGACGTGCCGAGAGTTCATTTGAAATACACTTTAAGTAATGAAAATAACATCCTTGTGAATTACCATAACATAACGTTTAGGTATCATCCTGTCTCTTATACACATCTAGATGTGTATAAGAGACAGCTAATACTACGACAAATATGTTTGCAAGAAATGAGAGAGTACAGAAAACGTAGAGTATTGGATTTGCGTAATAAAAGAAACGAGTTGTTGTCAAATGTTGATTAAATGATTCTATCCAAGATAAACACAGCGGCTCAAAACTTGAGCTCTCGTTGTGTGCAATCGGTGTATTATCCATGTTGATATTCAAACTTATTTTTAATTGATTTGTAACTCAGTTCAGAACAATGCTTACTTTTCAAACATTCCACCCAAGAATTACAAATGAAAACAAATTCGCTTTTGATATGGTTGGAGTGTGTGAAGTTTCCAGTTTATACTGAACAGGCAAATGGTGCGGACAGCAGACAGATACATATTTTT